TGCAGAGGAGTAATGTTCTGCATGAGTTCTACCGACGGTGAACGTCAGGACGCAGCGTCACTTTGGTGCGCCGGGAAGGGCCTAAGCTAGTACCATTTGGGTGTTGGATGTGATGGGGTGAAACGGGAGGGGCTATGGTGGCGGGATTCGCATGTTGATTCAGAAGGTGTGTTTTGCTTGCGCGCGAAGGCGCAGGAGCACTCATGGCATTGCTGGCGTGCGCGCGCTGGTAGTGGAGTGGACATAAGCTGCAAGGCAGTGTTGTGCGTGCCTTGTATCTGCGGCGCCGACGTTAGGGGTGAGTGTCCGGTGTGGTGCGACGTTTTGTGGATGGCACAGACAAACATGCGGCTTGCATGTTGTCCCGTGCAGGCGGTGGCCGGGTGCCACGCTCGCTATCACACTAGCTCAGGCTACGAGATGGGTGGCTTATCGGCACTCAGCCAGGCGTGGCGTCCGCAGCAGCAGCGGCACCACTTTATGTTTGATGGGCGATTGGGTTGATGCGTGATGGGCAGAGGACAGCTGGGCGACCGTTGGCTGAGTAGTGCGTGGTTGCGTTTCACACGGGATGTGGGCATTGCGAGCATCTGCAGAGGCGTCAACGACGCTGACAGTGGGTTTCTGACGAATTGGGAATGGTTTGTAGGCAGCATTGATGGAGCAGTGGTTGTTGAACTTGTTGAACATGAGGAACCCTGAAGGTGTTTGCAGTACCTCCGTTCGCGAGCTTGGGGGTCCGTGGCCACACTGCGGTGCGACGGCAGCTGGTGCTAGATGTGCTGGGATGTTTTGAATGCCGAACAAGTGCCTCGCGGCCCTGTTGGGAGTCCGCAACCAGAGCGAGGAGCGAAAACATTAATCGGTTGCATGGGCGTATCGGGGACACCGACCTTGGCGAAAGGATGAGGAAGCGTGCAACGTCATCTGGGTCTAGTTTGCGGCATGCGTGAATGCGCGCACGATGTGAGCCCTGGAATCATCCGTTCGGACGGCAAAAATAAGAAAGATCTACTTTCGCCGACAATGTTTTGGAAAGTGTAGCAGGCATCAAACCGGTCGTCATCGAGACGTAGAGCGGGGGAGCTGTGATTGGTTGCAGCATGTTAGAGGGAAAGGGCGCCCTGCAGACCGATATGTTTTTCGGCGGTCACTCCAGGACAGCAGCGAAGCACACAGCGTCTGCGGCATGTGCGCAGCAAGGGATGAAAGGTTGTGTCTGCATGCGTGTGAGCAGCGAGGGCTGGCAGGTGGTGTCTACGTGCGAGTGGCGTATCTCGACCGTTTTAGCGGCTGCGACACTGTGGGGATGGGGGAGGGGCGGCTTGACGCGCGGCAACAGGCGGGGGAATAGTAGGGCGTTCCAAGTTGCTGAGGATGTTTCTAGGCGCATGGGGGTGCTGGGACTAGCGAATCGTTGAAGGCGGCGGCAGCGTGGTACATGCTTGTGTGGAGGGGTGTAGTAGTGCAGGGTTGCTGGGGTGTCAGTAGCAGGCACAACGCCGGTGTCGCTGTGTGTTTCTTGCCCTTCACGACACCTGGCAGGGAAAGAGCTGCACAGGTGGTAGATTCTTCAGTAGAGCGGGTGTTAGGGGTGGTCGCAGTTGGATGGGTACGCAGTGGTGGCGGGACTGGCTGACGCGGGGTCTGGGAAGTGGAGGAGAGGTGGGCAGGCCAGGCGTAACGAACGGTAGCTTGCGTGCAACGGATTGTTTCGTTCTTGTCAGGGAGTGAGAGTGTTTGCTTGCTTAACTACGCATATCTCCTGTATCAGTGTTTGCGAGTGGCGATGCAGATTCCGTCGAGTGTTGTGGGGCTTTGGGGTGTGTGGAAGGTCGCACCAGCCCTCTTCACATGCGTGAAAGTTTGCGTCTGTGAGGCGGTGGCTCTGCAGAGAGGTACTGTTCTGCATGAGTTTTGCCGACCGTGGACGTCAGGGCACAGTGTCACTTTGGTGCGCCGGGAAGGGCCTAAGCTAGTAGCGCTGGGGTGCAGGGTGGTGTTTCACACGGGATGTGGGCATTGCGAGCATCTGTAGAGGCTTTAGCGACGCTGGCAGTCGATTTCTGACGAACTGGGAATCTTTTGTAGGCATCATTAATGCAACAGTAGATTTGAACGTGGGGAAACATGAAGGTGTCTGCTCCAGCATTCAGAAGAAAAGGATGCCAGAGCGATTGATTGGGCGCGAATGATGGCTGTAACACGTAGGAATTCGCTGCCAGGCTGATCAGACCCCTCACAGCAAAGTGATCAGCTCACACGAATGAAATATCGCTTTCATCTACATCTCTTTGGAATTTAGAAGGTGTGTTTGTATGCACGGATCCACGTGTTCATGGCTCGCCATTCGCGCGACAGAGCTGCAGGGTAAGGCGTTGTGCCTGGGTTTCGATATTAATGTGTGGTGGCATGACCTTGCAAAGTTTGGCAAATTTTCCCTTCGTCTTGGCAGCTCTTGTTCAGCTCGCGCAATTGTCGTCCAAACTTCTAGGATCGGAAACGTTCTGATTTCTTATGCTTTGCAGGTCTTTAAACGTATGGAGTAAGCCTTTATTCTTCTACAGATAGCTCAGATCTGAGTAAAATTCAGGGGTACGAGCGGGCAGAAATCTCCCACCGCAAGTAAGGTTACCCACTTGGCGTAACACATCTGTAACGTACGTGTTGTGTTTGCGTGCATCCGTTGACCTGACGCTTGGAGATGAAGGAAAACTATTGGACAGCAGGAATGCATTCAGTGCACTGGAAAAGTGAATGGTCCTCCATGTAGCGCGTAA